AGGACAGGCACAAAAAAAAATAAACAATGTACAAAATATTTGAAAAATTGAGTTGTTCATGCAAGTATATTAGTGCATTTCTGTAGTACCAGCACTAAGGAGGTTGAAGCAGAAGAACTGTGAGTTCCAGGACAGCCTAGGCAATTTAAGTGAGACCCTGTCTCAATACAAGAAAATAAAATTTTTAAAAAGATGGTGAGAGCATAGCTCTCATACTTTCATAGTATGTACAAAGCTCTGAGTTCAATCCTTAGTATCAGAGAGGAGTTAATATTAACCATATAATTAAGCAACCATTGCTTAATTGGTAATAAATTCTGGAAAATGTATCATTAGCCGAATGTATCACTGTACAAACAGTATAGAGTGTGCATTTACAAACCTAGATAGTAAACCTACTGTACACCTAGGCTATAACATACAGCCAATTGCTTCTAACCTGTACATGTTACATGTTACTGAGCTGAATATTGTAGGTCATTAAAACACAAAGGTCATTATTTGTACTGACCTTGTATTGCCTAATAGTAGTTTCATCATAATTTTAAAGTACTATTAGTCAATAGGAACTTTTCACCCAAAAAAAAAAAAGTAAAGTAAAAAGCTGGCAGTGGAGCTGTGGCTCCAGTGGTAGACAGCTTTGACCAAAAAAACCAAAGTTCAAGAACAATGCCTAGGCCCTGAGTTCAAGCTCCAGGACCTACACACACATACATACAAAATAAATAAATAAAAAATAAAACAACCCAAACTTTCTCTTTCTCATGCTTTTCTTGTCAGATGATTAAAGTAAAGCAAGACTGAATTTATGAACAAACATTATTAAATATTTGAGCTGGGTGCCAGTGGCTCACACCTGTAATGCTAGCTATTCAGGTGGCTGAGACCTGAGGATCGTGGTTTGAAGCCAGACAGGGCAGCAAAGTCCCTGAGACTCTTATCTTCAATCAACTATAGAAAAAGCTGGAAGTAAAGCTTTGGCTAAAGTGGTAGAGTGCTAGCCTTGAGCAAAAGGAGCCCAGAGTTAAAGCCCTAGGACTGGTGGGGGTAAAACAAATGTGGAGCTTTATTAATCTAGCCCCAAATTATAATTATATATGAGTATATATATATATGTATATATACATACATCTTTCAATCATTGATATCAGTGAAAGATAACACCAAATGAACTTAAGCACCCTAATTCATAATTTACAGTACAGGACTTTAAAATTTCAAAAGAACACCCAGGTTAATCTTTCAGTCATTTTTACCAGAGTGTCCTATTTGTGGTGTCCAATTTTTGTAACCTGATCTTTGAGGATTTCCAGCAGTCAATGGAGTTTTAATCACTTGTGGATAATTAGTGTCTTGTGCAGAAGATGAACTTGTACCAAAAGTAAAATTGGATGGAACTCTGTTTGCTGCATAGGATCTTTTGCTTCCCAAGTTTGAGCCTAAATTTGAAAAATGTAAGCATTAAGGATTAGAATTATGAAACACCTATAATTTATTATGTTCACTTTATATAGAATTGTTCTTCCAATAATGATTTTCAAATACAACACATTCAATAACTCAAAAATTTGTATTAAAATATGCTAATATTTTTCTAAAATATGCTCCTACAAACTCCCTGAGAGCTAGGCGCCGGTGGCTCACGCCTGTAATCCTAGCTACTCAGGAGGCTGAGATCTGAGGATCATGGTTCAAAGCCAGCCCAGGCAGGAAAGACCATGAGACTCCTATCTCCAATAAACCACCAGAAAACCGGAAGTGGCGCTGTAGCTCAAGGCTAGTGCTCTACCACTTGAGCCACAGCGCCATTTCTAGTTTTCTGAGTGGTTTATTGGAGATAAGCAAGCGCCTCACAGATTTTCCTACCAGGACTGGCTTTGAACTGTTGTCTTCAGATCTTAGCTTCCTGAGTAGCTAGGATTACAGGCGTGAGCCACCAGCTGACTGAGCAAGCAGTTACTTTTTTTTTTTTCCAGTGGTGGGGTTTGAACTCTGGGCCTGGGCGCTGTCCCTCAGCTCTTCAGCTCAAGGCTAGTGCTCTACCACTTGAGCTACAGCGCCACTTCCGGTTTTCTGGTGGTTTATTGGAGATAGGAGTCTTATGGTCTCTCCTGCCCAGGCTGGCTTTGAACCGCGATCCTCAGATCTCAGCCTCCTGAGTAGCTAGTATTACAGGCGTGAGCCACCAGCACCCGGCTGTTTTATACATTCTAAGATTCTCTATTCATGACACAACTTAAATGTACTCCAGATTCTTATTTCACTGTCTCCTGAAGTTCCTTTCTTTCTCTTTCCTTCCTTCTTCCTTTCCTTCCTTCCTTCCTTCCTCCCTCCCTCCCTTCCTTCCTTCCTCCCTCCCTTCCATTTTTTTTGGTGCCAGTACTGGGGTTTGAACTCAAGGCCTGCACTCTTGCTTGGCTTTTTCACTCAAGGCTGACACTTTATCTCTTCAACCAAAACGTCACTTCTGGCTTTTTTTTTTTTTTGGTTGTTTCTACCCAGGCTCAATTGTTTGACTTCAGCCTCCTGAGCAACCAAGATTACAGGCCTGTGCTACCAGCACCCAGTTCTTAACTTTCAACTGACAGATACCTTAGACTCAAATATTCATCAAATTGTCTCTCGTCAGCTCCTTAACCTGATTATCAGATCACTTGGTTCTTGTAAATATAGATTTCAACACTTCATTCTTCACATATAAATTCAAAGTTAAATCTTTTTTGGGGGGACGGGGGTGATGCACTACTTGTGGAAGGGCTCTATCATTAGAGCCACACCTTAGTCATTTGGCTTTAGTTTCAGAAAGGGTCTCAAGCTTTTTGCCTGGCCTCAGTTTGTGACTTTTATCTCTGCTTCCCAAGCAGCTGGGACTACCTAAGTTACCCAGTACACCTGCACCTCTTGTTTTTTTAAAATGTGTTGAACACACCCTCAAGAACTTAATTTCTAAAATAATAACTATACTCATCTAGAATAGAGGAAATGTTCAACTTAATCAAATTTCATCTTACCCTAGGGTCTTGATAGACTAAAATCCAGGAGCCCAACCCTCAGCTATTTTTTTGAGGGGGGGGGTCCAGTCGTAGAGGCTGAACTCTGGGCTTGGGCACTGTCCCTCAGCTCTTCAGCTCAAGGCTAGCGCTCTACCACTTGAACCACAGCGCCACTTCCGGCTTTTTTCTGTTTATGTGGTGCTGAGGAATCGAACCCAGGGCCTCATGCATGCGAGGCAAGCGCTCTACCACTGAGCCACCTTCCCAGCCCCTCAGCTAACTATTTCTATCAGCAAACTTATCCACAAACGAGGCAGAACTCAGCCAGGAACCATCTCTGTCTTGTCATGAAACAATATTAGAAAGTAGTTTTAGGCTGAAGGAGGGGAGGGTGCTGGTGACTCCCGCCTGTAATCCTAGCTATTCAGGAGGCTGAGATTTGAAGATAGAGTTTGGAAGTCCGGCCAGGAAAATCTGAGACCCTTCTAATAAACTACTCAGAAAAAGCTGGGCTTGGCGCTGTGGCCCAAGTGGCAGAGCGCTAGCCTTGAACCAAAAGCTTAGGGACCGTGCCCAGGCCTCAGGAACTGGCAAACACTAAGAAAACCCCACAACGTGGAAAGGCACCCATTTTCGTGGCCCTCTCCTGCCCCCACAAGCCCCGCTTGCCTCGCGGGGGCCAGGCCCCGGGCGGGCGGCTGCTGCTGCTGCTCCTGTCGGCGACCACCCCCGACGTGACCCCAGACGTGCCGGGCGGGCTGGAGGCGGCGGCCGAGGCCCAGGCCGGCGCGCAGCTCTGAGGGCTCTCCTGGAGCCCGAAATTGTAGCGCGGACCTCGCAGGTACGCCTCTCCCCACAACGGGGAAGCTGCAGATGAAAGGGAGATTGATGACAGCTCTGGTCTGGACATCCTACCAAACCGTCAGGAACAAAAAGTTTCCAGGCCTTTCTTTGCTGTGTAGGGGCGAAGCAACGCCACTGGTGAAAATGGCGGAAGAGGACGCACCACGCAGGCGCACCAAGCCATCCCTCCGCGCAGGCGCATAAGCAACTCTCCACACTATGCAAATTTGTTCTGTAGTAGTCATCGCATTACACATGAACCAAGTTACAGTACACCTCAAGTCTGCAGGTATGTAATTGCAATCTTTCTGGGCCTACCAAGGATGACCTAACTGGCAGCCCGGTAATTCTCACAGCAACTCCTGAACTGTGCAACAAAATGCGTTTGAGGGCATGTTGCAGACTGAACATAGGGTCTCACGTTGAGCTGTACAATCTTCCTCATTCTGATTTTTAAACAGATCTTTATCATTGTGCACCCAATTTTTTACCTTGGGGATGGAGGGGAGGTCTTATGACCAAATACAAAACTGGTCTACAGACTATTATAAATTAGCATGGACATGGCTGACCATCGACTAGTGATGTCAGTTTCCAATACTTCCAATTTCCAGGACTATGGTTTCAAACAGCACAGTTCTATGCTTGCTAACAGGAACACTGCATGAAACTTTTATATTCCCCAAATATAGCAACACAGGCACCAATTTACTGGAGTTGTCAAAATCTAGTTAATAGGATTAAACTTCTGAGTACTGCTGTAAAATATTCCTGGGAATGGACGTTATAGATAAGCCATGGGCAGCAGTTTAAGAAAGTTGGTGCAAGCAACAGGAATAATGAACCAACCACCACCTACCTTAGCAGATCCTGTTATGTCATAGGCACCTGTCACCCTGGGTCCAAACAAAATGTTTCAACAGGTTAAGTGACTCAAGCCAGATGTGTAAACATCCCAATGAGTTGCTAGTATCTTTTAAAAGTGATGTAATCTCTTAAATAAAGGTGGCAAAAACCTTGAAAAAGGTGACTACAGAAGAGTAAATAAATACAAGTATTATCTTTTTACAATGTTTTATTGTACATGAAGAGGCTGCTAAGTAGGAAAATATCTTTAAGTGTACAAATAACCATGAAGGAAATGTGCATAAACACAAATCAACTCTTTCTCTTTCCCCCCAAGAAATCTACAAAGGCACCACAAACTCAAGATTCTATTTCCCTTTCTCTAACAGCCTGAAACCTACCCATTGGCATTACAAAACAGCCAAAAAGGACAGGATGACCTGATTTCCAAAGTAGCATAAGAATCTCTTGAATCCTAACTTGATCACACAGAGCTGCTTCTAAAATTCTAGGAATTGACTTATGGATAGTTTTTTCTTCAAACAAACCAATACACTACCAATACACTACTGTCATAGGACCTAGAATTAGGAGCACATGGGAAAGAGAACTAAAAATAAATCTTATTTTAAATTGTTTACTATAGAGACAAAATAAACAAAAATTCCAAATAGAAATTAAGAATTAAAGTAAAAAGCTGAAAATACAATACAAGCCTTTATATTACAGTACATATAATTACATAATTTATTAAAATTAATTTAATACATCAAAATATAATACATAAATACTAAGAGTAGTCACTTCTAGATTCAGTAAGTACTTCAAATAGAGAAATGTTGAGATTGCAAAACTATATTAAGCATTTTTCCCACTGATGAGTCTAGTTCACTAGTTCAGGCTGAACATTCACCCTGCGAAGCACTTCTTCAGGCATGCAAAAGACAGGACTAACAGGTTTAACCTGTTCTTCCCCCAACAGTGACAATCCAGCAATTCCAAATAATGTATGAAAAGGATCCACCTATAAAACAAGCACAGTTTAATTACAAAATGAAAATCTCTGATATAATAAAAATACCCTGTTCTGAAATTTCATCCAAACCTCATTATTAGACACAATGAGGAATTTCTGTAAATGTCATGTCCATTCATATTTGAAAACAAAAGTTACAAAAAAAATAAACCTGATCAACTAACTATATGACAGTACCTAGAATCAGGTAGGTACCAGCAGCCCTAGGGTTGTGCAAGTGGTAGTGCATAGTTAAAAAACTGTCAAATATACTTGCCATATCTCCTGGCCTGTCTGCAAAACCTCCAGTTTCTTCATCTTGACATGCTAAAATGAAACTTCGAAGCTTCTCTCTATCAATCCAATGAAGTCTTCCAATGATCTTTAAGGAAGCCAATACCCACCAGGAATAGCAAACATCTGGTAACTAGAATGGGAAAGAGTCACAAAAAGTTGTCACATTATTACCTTAGGTTTGAGGAATATTTTGAGTTAAAACTAAGTACATTTCATGCTCAAGAGATTTACTGGAAGCTGGGTGCTGGTGGCTCCGGCTGTAATCCTAGCTACTCAGGAGGCTGAGATCTGAGAATCACGGGTCAAAGCCAGCCCAGGCAGCCAGACCATGAGACTCTTATCTCCAATAAACCACTTGAAAACCAGAATTGGTGCTATGGCTCAGGCGGTAGAGCCCTCGCCTTGAGCTGAAGAGTGCAGGGAAGCCCCACAACTGACCAAAAAAAAAAGGGGATTTACTGGATTTTGAGTTCCAGGTTAGCATGTGATGAGACCCTGCCTCAAAAACCAAAGATATTTAAACCATCTGTCTTTCTGAGTCTGGTTTATCTGTTTCTTTAATAGAGATGTGTAAAGCTCAGTAAATTTTCAAGAGCCATGTTGCTTGCAATGTGAAGGTAAGTTTTGCTCACCTAAGGTCAGAAATTTAGAGGTGCAGAAAGAATATTTTATGAAATATTACCTTCTCTGGCCTTCCATTGAGTCCACCTGAGGGTAACTGTCGTTCACAGAGCCACCAACCAAGTAAGTCAGAATTTACTTGATGTAATTGACTTGTAATTGCCAGGAATCCTGTGCAACAATAGATCTAAAATTAAAAATATAAAACACACATGTAGATTGATTCCATGAAAATAAAAGATTAAAACTTCCTCAAATTTCTAAAATCCCATTTTGCATTTCAAATTTCTATTATCATCCAATTACAAATTTGAACCCTGAGTATTTGTACAATATTCTCTGGCACAAACTAAGATGACTCAACTCAGGGTAGGAAAGGTTATCTAACTGATGAGACTACTTATATTTGCTTGGGTCAGAGATACCATGCATATATAAGCTACCTATCTAAGAAACTTGCAATTATTAAGCAATAACCCTACTTTTGTTGATTTCCTTCATTGATATTTAATGTATAACTCCAGTTACTATTAAATACTTAAAGATATGTCATCAAAACTGACAAGTACATTTATGAGGTAATTACCTGTCCAGCATGAGATTCAGAACCTGGCCGGCAACCAAATCCACCATCAAAGTTCATACAGGACAAAACAAATTCAATTGCTTTTTCTACATTAATGGCATCGAGCTTCCCCTATAAAGATAAGATCAGGATGGGGTCTAGTTTAAAATATATAGTGCTTGCCAAGAATGTGGCAACACAATGGTTTTTGTTCCACTGATGTCTGATCATTTCAGTACGATATTCAAATCTTACCAATAGTGCCAAAGTTGCCACCGCACAGAAGGAGAATCTTGTATCAATTTCGCCTGAAAGAGATCAATGGCATACAGATTACCATGGGGTTAACAGTAAACTAGAAAAATTTATATAACCACATACAATTCCCAATAGTTTAAACTTTTCCATTAAGGTAATCATGAGAAAAGCTATACAACTGAATATATTATAAATGTTAAATATTCAAGGAAATATAATCATATTCCCTTGAATTGCTATTATTAAATTAGCTAGGAGTGCAAAGAAAAAAACTAGAAGGACTAGCCAGCTTTTAATAATGCAAATAAACTTACCCTATTTTACAAAAGTAGATTTTTCACATCCCATGAAGCAGCTGGTCTCTCTGGTCTGTACTTTGTTCACTCCTGAAGCAAAGATCATCTACATTTATCATACAAAACTGTACTCCCTCCCTCCACTCAAATAATCAGGAATTTAGTCAAACTTTGTTTTGTCCCAATCTAGCAGGTTTCTTTCCTTTCAGAAAAAAAAACACCCTTTTGTTCAAAACTATCAAATACTGGGGAAAATTTTCACCTACCTTATCTTTTAGACTGGGCCCTTTGTTCCAGTGCTCCTGTATGCTGGTATGTAACTACCACAGGGCATGCTGGAACCTCCAGCTGACCATTAACTCCAGTCAGACCAGCTGCTTTAGTGGGATCTGAAAAGATGAAAAACTTAACTTGGTTACTACCAAGGTTATGACATTTAATACTGAGCTTTGGATAGCATGAACTAAAATTGATCTTACCCCAAACATCTCCAGCAAAAGAACCATCTTCTTTCTGTAGACTCTGAACATACTCCACCACTTTATCGATGTCAATAACATTAATGCTATCATACAGAGTAAGAATCTGTAGGACAAATATACTACGGTAAATAGGCCTTCAAGAACATAAATGATAATCTATTTATTCTGTAAAATCCCTTTATTCCGTAAAAACCTTAATCATAAGCAATTTCAGTCACTTGGCATTAGAAGCTACTCACTCTAACTTACTACCACATGGGCCTCCACTAATACCAAAATTAATATCAAAGCTATATATTGAACAGAAAGTTACCCTGCAAGGTCTCAGTATTATTTTAAAACTTACATCAAATTTGCATTCAGTTAATACATGCCATACCATCATTGACCTTGTGGGGGGAGACTTCACTGAGTCATAACAATTTAAAACCTTACCTGGACAGCACTAAGAGTGTACAAAAGATGAGGATCGTGTCCAATACTGGCACTTATTCCACCACATTCATGTTGACATGACTTAATAAATGTCAGTATTTCTTCTCTATTCATGCGATCAAGCTGGCCCATGAGATCCATCACTGTCAGGCCCCAATAGATGCCACTCATTCTCAAATACTCAGACATACAATATTCCTATAAAATAACAATTTCCTAAATGTGTCAGTTTGAATTTATGATGGGTTATAGTCAATATATATAATTCTAACTCAAAAGTAGTATAATTTAATTCATTTGTGGCTGACAATTTAAGGGAGGCTTTAGTTGCTCCCAAGTTGAACCCTATGCAAACTCAGGAAACAGGCTTATTGAAGTTTCAACAAGTTATCACTTACTTTATATCAGGAAGTATTGTAGATGCTAGAATACTACATTGATTAAAATGTTCTAGGTTTTTGAATCAGTACTTTTCTGCAAACCCAAACTGAATGGGCAGCAGATAAAAATGTTAGACCCCGTCAAGATTTCAATCTTCACAAACTCATGGTCTCTAACGGAGCATAAAATATAGGTTATAAAAACAAATCTAACATTTAGCTTAAAAGTTAAAGTCACGTAGATCTTCCCCAAGTTGGGGAATTCAGCTGATGGGCCAGCACAGAAGAAAACACCGAAGTCAGGGGAATTGCTTTATTACTCCCTAAGACTGTCTCAAATGGGTTTGAGCTACTAAGGTAACACTTTTTCAAGGTCTCAGCGTAATTCTAGAGCTAATGTGTTATTACACATCAGTAAACAATTCAGATAATACATGCCAACACATCATTGACCTAGAAAGTATTACCCCAGCAACAAAAAGAAATCCGAAAAATCTTTGTCTATAGTTTATTGGTTGATTCTGACTTATCTCCAATTTCATAAATACAAAGTGAACCATCATACTAAGCCACATCAGCATTTTCAGTTCTCTGCATGGATACCACTTGATGAACACAGGACTTCAATACTGCCCTCATGCTTATTTTATACCTATACTAGTAAGTATTTCAACAGTAAATCATACGCACATAATCATCTTTCTTTGAGCCATAGGACGCGATATAGTCTGCATGTTTCTCCAGTAACAGTGTGTCTGGTGCATCTGACTTGATAGTAACATCCTTCTGTGGTGTGCCCTTTCAAAATAAAAACATTTCATCAATGTTTACCTCTTAACACTCGGCCCCTTATCATACATTAAGTATAGATCAGAATTTATGCTCCATTTTGTCACTTAGAAGTATCTAGCTAGGGGGCTGGGAATGTGGCTTAGTAGTAGTGTTTAACTATCATGCATGAAAGCCCTGGGTTCAATTCCTCAGTATCACATAAAAATAAATAGCTGGAAGTGGTGCTGTGGCTTAAGTGGGAGAGCTAGCCTTGAACAAAAGCAGCTCAGAGACAGTGCCACAGTGCCAGGCCCTGAGTTCAAGCCCCAGCACTGGCAAAAAAAAAAAAAAAAAGCTAGTGTACTGGCACAAACCCCAGCTATCAGGAAGCTGAAGCAAAAGGTTTCAGTTCTTCAGTTCACTATCAACCCAGAGTTTCTCTTGAAAAAAAGCCAACTATCTTGCCAAAAGGAATTTAAAACATCTCTCACGATATTGGTCACAATATTGGTAATTTTCAGGTCTCAGAGTAATTCTAGAGCTAAAGTGGTATTAATCAACTTTAGATTCAGAATACATGCCGGCTCATCATCGACCCAAAACTTACCATCGTAGTCTGTTTCTCTGTCACATAATTAAGGGAGAAACACCACAAAACACCAAGCTTACCAAACTGGGATATGTATGAAGTTGGCTTTCTAAGATTGGCTAATCCAAAACTTTGTAAAACCTGCTACAACAAACTGAGGTTTTCAACTATTAAGTGGTCCCACGAGCTCTATCTTCAACTTTTAATCCGAGCCTGCAGTTGCCAAACCAACCCCCTTCCGACCGATGCTCAAGGGCTGCTCTCCTTCCCGTGACTACCTACCACCAACAATATTTAAGTAATTTCCTATAGACCAGTGATTACCCACCAAACAGTTAAGACACGCAAAACTACATCTTCACCCACTGGTGAAGATGTATGTACACGCACATACGCATGCATGCACGAACACATGTGCCTGTATGTACAGAGGCGACAGAGGCCTAGGAGGAGGAAGTCTGGGTAAGACGGCAGCAGCCATGCTGCCCGCGAGGTCTGCAGAAAACGCTGAGTAACACTTCACCCTCAGCTCAGGAAACCTTCAAGCCCCGCGTCTTGACCTAACCATTCCCCAGTGTTTGTCAGCCAGTTCTACAGTGAGGATGGCCGCTCAACGCTAGTCTGGCTCACCCATCCGAGAGAAGGCCCCAAAACACACGTACACTCACCATGTCTGGAACCGAAAAGACAGAAACCGGGAAGGTTCAGGGTAGATTTAGGAGCCGCGCCTGCGCAGAAGCAACCACGAAGGCCCCCTTCCCCGCCCCGACAGGGTTGCCCACGCTCCTGCCTGAAGGACAGACGGCCCAGTGACCGCCTAGGACCCCGCCGGCTGCTTATAGGCGTCTTTCGTGCCTGCGCCGTTTTCCTTCTGCCACAGTCCTAGTTTCTCGATCTTAGTTTGAAGAAACTTTTAAAAAGTGCTGGTTCTGTCTCGAGTCTCTTTGTACTCGGGAGATCTGAGATGCCGGCCACTCAATACAGTGCTTGCTGGTGTAATCAGTACTGAGTCGATCTTTTAAAAAATTAAAATGATTAATAATGCTGCGATAAACGTAGGAAAAGTGGGATTGCTGGGTCAGAGGGGAGCTCTATGTGGAGTCTTTTGAGGAACCTCCATACTGCTTTCCAAAGTGGTTGAACAAGTTTACACTCCCACCAATGCAGTAAGGTTCCCTTCTGTCCACATCCCCTCCAGCATCTGTTGTTGTTAGAGTTCTTGATTTTTGCCATTCTAACTGGGGTGAGGTGGTATCTCAATGTTGTTTTGATTTGCATTTCTTTTATGGCTAGGGAGGTTGAGCATTTCTTCATGTGTCTATTGGCCATTCTTATTTCCTCTATGTTTATCGCAGCATTATTTACCATAGCTAAGATATGGAACCAACTCAGATGCCCCTCAGTAGATGAATGGATCAAGAAAATGTGCTCTCTCTCTGTCTCTCTGTGTCTCTCATATATATATATATACACACACACACACACACACATACATACATACATACATACAATGGAATTCTGTGCCTCCATCAGAAAGACTGACATTGCCCCATTTGTTAGGAAATGGAAAGACTTGGAAAGAATTATATTAAGTGAAGTAAGCCAGGCCCAAAGAAACATAGGTCCTGTGGTTTCCCTTATTTGCAATAACTAGTATATGTCTAGGACAAGCAGAAAAGGTCAAAAGCTATGTACATATGACCATATAAGATGATGCTAAGCAAAATAAACCCCAAGATAGAGACACAAGTGGTTTTATCTTTCATGCTGTTGTTTTTAATGTACTTATAATGTACCACGTGATTTTTTTTGTTTCTTTTTTATGTTCTTCCCCCATGGTATAACCCCTGTTTTCACTGTATTTGATTCAGGCACTCTGCATCTTGTATATACATTTTTTCTAACTTGAGGAGGGGAAGGGAAATAACAAAATGCTGAAATGAGGACAGGATGACCAACTGTAACAAGGAGATGTACAAGACACTAGAACTTCACAACTTGGGGGAGGGTGAGGAGAGAGAAGTTGGGGAAGTGGGGAGGGAAGGGATGGTAGGGGAAAAACAGGAGGAGATAACAATGCTCAATAGGAAATGTACTCATTTCCTTACTCATGTAACTGTAACCCCTCTGTACAGTATTTCTACAATAAAAATATATACCAAAAAGAAAGAAAGAATGAAAATGACCCTAGGTGCTAGTGGATGAAGCCTGCAATCCTAACTACTCTGGAAGCTGAGGATGGAGTTTCAAAGTCAGCCCAGGCAGGAAAGTCCTATCTCCAATTAAGCACCCAAAAAAGCCGAAAATGGAGCTGTGGACAGGTACCAAAAACAGGGGAAAAAAGAAGGAAAGAAAAAAAGAATGAAAATTAAATGTTCACACCTCCTTTGCTTTTACTTTGCCCATTTTGGGGGTTAGTCTCTTTGTCTCCTGCCTCCTCCCCACCAGAAGTGCTTCTACAGTAGTTGAAATATTTATAAATTGCTTTTCACAAGCTTTTTTCCTAAGAGTATTACAGTTACTTTCTTTCATATGTCTTGCCTTTTCATACTTATTTATCAGAGCACACCATATTCTCCTAAAAATTGCTTTAGTTTGAGATGGATATCAGCTCTAACCATACATAAGTGGCCCATCAGTAATTTAGGCCTTATCAAACCTAACTAATTGTAACTATCATGAAGGGGTTTCAATATTTCTCCCTGTAATTCTTCTGATCTTACTTTCCCATTTATAGTTTGGGACTATTTTACTATATGAGTGCAAATTGAGATTTGCTATATAGTTGTAAGGATATTTAGCTTTTTTGGTTACTCTAGTTTCAATAATGCAACTAATTTTAAAATGTTTTCTTTGTTCGATATTAATGTGATTTTGCCAATCCTCTTTTGGTTAGTACCTTTGAGAGGGATTTAAAACAATAAATGACAACAATAATGAAACCCAATCCTTTTCTTTGAAACTTTCTATATCTTTAGGTTTCAAAATGTGCCTTGCAAAAAGAAAATTGCTGAATTTTTTGTCTACTTTTAATCATTAACCTCCATCTATTTTCATGAGCTGTGGCTGACTTGTTTTTGTGTATAACATTTTGCTTTCTACCTGTTACACATCTCTGTACTTTTTATTGATTTGTGCTTTCTTGCTCTAACCAAAACAAAAAAGTTTTTCTAAATAATTTCTAATCATCTCTGGTTTAGAAGTTATGTACACTATAATTGTTGTTTTAAACTACTTTAAAATTTATTCAGTATACTTGAAAACAACTGAAGTTCAATAATCATAGCTTCTCAGAAGACCAAGATGTGGGAATCCAGTTTCAAAGCAAGTCCTGTGGAAGCGGGATAACTTATGGAAACTGAGGCCTGGGGTAGGTAACTAAAAAATATGACATCTAAAAACTTAGAAATGCTATCTTTGCTTCAAAGAGAGGCAACTAAATGCATTCTTTCCTAGGGCATGCATTTTCACTCAAGAATTCACAACTGCCTGACAGGATGTCCCAAAATGCAGATAGCAGGATGTCTCCTTTCAATGATAAGGATCTGTTATATGGCAGGATGCATTCTTACCTGGAAACTCTGAGAATAACAACAGGTGTAGTTAAAGCAAAATATAAAAGCACCTAGTTTTATATAATTTAAAGCCAGACCCCCTGCCCTTACCCTATAAATACCCAACAGCCCAAGGAGCTGTGTGTCTCTCTGGATGTCTCCTTGTCTGTGTCTGTGTCATTGTGTCCCTATGAGAGCACCCACATTCTGCTAGAGTGTGCCCCTGCCCTTCCGTTAGTCTGGTTTTTTTTGTCTGTTTCCTTGCCTGATTACTTAATAAACCTCTGCCAAGTTTTCTTACCATTGTGACTTGTCCAGAAATTCCTATTCTGCGATGGAAGTCAAGAACTGTAAGTGAAGAGTTCCTGTATTTAAAGGGGAGCTTCCCGAATCCTCACCTCTGTCTGGTAACACTGTCAGACAAAACCTTTAGACTTATCTCCAGCTAACAAACCAGAATTGAAAGCATAGCTTAAGTGGTAGAGGGTCTACTGTACCAGCAACTCTTCTTCGCAACAGTCTAAGAACAGTGTAAGAACTTCCAGTCACTCTTGTTTTAACTTGTACTCTAGTGGTTTTGTTTTTTACTTAAAAATTATTTTATTATCACAATTATCCAGTTAGAGCATATTTTGCGCATGGTTTTTGTTAGGTATTTAAAGAGGCTGCTGAGTGAGAAAAACACCATCCACGTGGTATTCAAGTAAGGGACAGGTTTTTTTCAGCGGACCGGATGGAACCAGGTTAGGTTGGTACTCCACATGGCTGGACCGAGAGAGGCTGACCCGGGCCAAGCCTTATCTAGGGAGGGGCTGGAGAAGGTGTGTCCAGGTGAAAGGAGATGGGACCAGGTAAGGGGAGGTGGGACCAGGTGGGAGAAGGTGTGGCCATATCAGATCCAGATGTGACCTCGGAAGATGCAGATGTGACCTCCTCCAGTTGTGCCAGTTGCCTAGGTAAAGCAGGCACTTGGCCGAGAGAAGGGAGGAGTCTGCTCACCATCCAGGAGAGGACCTTACAGTTTTCAGTTCATTTACCTGTTTGTCATGGAATAACACAATATCCTTTGGGAGTCCTTTTTTTCTTCCACTAGTGTTCTTTTAGTGGTTGTTGGCTGCTGGTTGTGTTTATCTGAAAATAAGTGTTTTTCATCCTTCTTGAGTCTTTAAAAATTGTTACTTTTAATTTTGAAGGTAAGATCCATAGGTTTTACCGATGGGTCAAAGATGGCATGTAAAAGCAACAGAAGAATCAAGATGTCCAACATTTAGAAGCCAGTACAAAATATCCCAATCCACAAATTCTACTCCCCTATATTTTTCTTTCACCTATTTCTTATCCCTCTTCTTGGATCTTTTTTCTGTTTTATTTATTTTATTGTTATTTAAAAGTGATGTACAGAGGGATTATAATTACATGAGTCAGGTAATGAGCATATTTCCTTTTGTAGTGTCTTCTTTCCCCACTCTCTCCCAGTTCTCCCTCCTGTCTCCACCCATGAGTTGTATAGTTCACTTTCATCAGTATCCAGTGAGCGCCACTGCTGCACTTTTCCCTCAAATTCTCTACCCTCCCTCCCACCATTCTGAATATATACATGGGAATACACCATGTTTAAAGAAAAGATAGATTCTTAAAAAGAAAAAAAGTGAGTTCACAACTTTAGATTGCCATTTACTTCTTTTCAATAATTGGAAAATAATCCATTGATGCTATCTCTGTGAACCTAGTAGTTACTGTGGAAGTGATTTTCTCACCTATGATTGTTTTGTGGGCTTTTTGTGGGTTGTTTTGTGTGTGTATGTGTGTTCTGTGTTGTGCATTTCCATGAATCTGTCTCTAGTTATGGATTTACTCTTTTACTAAATATTTGATAAACTTCCTAGATTTGCAAACTGTTTTAAACTGTTCTGAAAGTTTTCTAACATTTTTATCTTTCAATACCAATTTTACACTAAAATCAAGCAGATTCCTGACCTGACCCTATTCATACCATGGCATGCTATGCTCTTTGCCTACCCAACATTCCTCTGAATACGATGGTAGATGCCTCCAGGAGACACCGAGGAGCTAGGTGAACTGGTATCCCTTCACATGTCCAGACCATATTTCAGAACACCATGAGTCTACCATGGATTTCCTTACTCAAATGTCTCTCTGACCTACTTCTGACTTCTACCTGGGTTCTTTTCCTGCTATCTAATCAGTCCAATGACATTTTCATTACTATTATTTTATTTCTCACTTTTAAAAGGGTCAATTTGATTATTTTTCAAATCTGACTATACTTATATAGTTTCTGGCTTTTTTATTATTTTATTTTTTACACCTTTCACACTGCCACTTTAAACAGTTTTTGAATATTGTTTTACTTTCTAAACTATAAATGATTGTAACAGGTTACAATTTAACCTATTTATTTGTTTGTTTGTTTCTTTATTGTTTTTGTCAGTCACAGGGCCTGAACTCTGGGCCTGGGTGCTGCCCCTCAGCTTTTCAGCTCAAGGTTAGCACTCTACCACTTGAGCCACAGCTCCACTTCCAGCTTTTTCTGCTTATGTGGTGCTCAAGAATTGAACCCAGGGCCTCATGTCTGCAAGGCAAGCACTCTACCACTGAGCCACCTTCCCAGCCTCTTAACATATCCATTTATGTGTCTAGTGCTTCTTGATCAGAGTTGTCTATTCCATCAAATTTCTCATCCCATCTGCCTCTTCCTCCCAGACAAATTTGATGTTTATACTGGGTTACTTTATACTGTGTCTGATCATTCTAATTTGTGAAACTACATGTTATGTTTGATTTTCATTTGACCTTTTCTGCATAAGTCCTTACTTATTTTGAAGAGTTACATTTTAAATTTGATATTAAGGTTTTATTTGTAAATGAAAAGTTTCTCAAGCCCAGCATAGTACATAGTAGTAGTCAAATCTAATGCAAGTAATGATGTAGGGGGATCTCAGGTTCGAGGCCACCATGGGCTACAGAGGGACACCCTGACTCAGACAGAAAGAGAAAGGAGATAGAAAAAGAAAGAGAGAAGGAAAAAAAGAAAAGGAAAGAAAAATTGGGCTCTGTGACTCATAGCCCTAATTCTTGCTACTCAGAGGCTTGCATTTGGTCAAAACTCACATTATGACTTATTAGACTATACACATAACTTCATTAGCATTCACTAAACTAATGCTTTAGCATTTTACTATGTCATGGAATAGTATCTCCATGTTGTACAGCAGTACTGTACAACATTTTTTGTGTGTGCCAGTTCTGGGGCTTGAACTCAGCACCTCATGCTCTTTTTTTTTTTTTGCCCAAGGCTGACACTCTACCACTTGAGCCATACCTCCACTTCCATCTTTTTGCTGGTTAATTGGAGATAAAAGTCTCACAGACTTTATTTCTAAAGTGACAAATACATATATTAAGTGTTGCATATTCTACCTTTCCCTGGCAGTACTAGAATTTAAACTCAGGACTCTGTGCTACACCTCAGTGTCAAAATTCTCTACTTTCAGGCTCAGGGTACAGTTCAGTAGTCACATTTTGTATAATGTGAGAGAAGGGTTTGATCTCTAGTACATTTAAAAAAATATTGCTGGGCTGGGAAGGTGGCTCAGTGGTAGAGTGCTTGCCTCCCCATGCCTGTGGCCCTGAGTTCCAATTCCTCAGCACCACATAAACAAAAAAGCCAGAAGTGGCACTGTGGCTCAAGTGGTAGAGCACTAGCTTTAAGCTGAAGAGCTGAGGGACAGTGCCCAGGTCCAGAGTTCAAGCCCCATGACCGACAAAAAAAAATTGCTATGTGTTTCATGATTTATTTGCCCTTTCATTTTTTAATTCAGTATAACCAAGTGAAATTTTGTCTGAAGCCTTAGAATAATAAAAGGAACTTTGTATGATACAAATATAAGAATAGAATTCTAAGATTATTAAAAAACTATTTTAGATATTGATGGCTCATCCCTCTAATCCTAACTATTCAGGGGGCTGAGATCTGAGGATCACAGTTCAAAGCCAATTAAGGACTTACACAGCCAAAAGTGGAGCTGAGGCTCAAGTTGTAGAGTGCTAACCTTGAGCAAAAAAGTGCAGGGACAACACCCATGCCTTAAATTCAAGCTCTAGGCCAAGTAATCCTCCCAAAAAAAAACCCACACCTCAAAAACATGTAAAATCCACAACAAAACAGCCTTTCCTAAATAAATTTTGGGATAGAAAAACACTTTAAATATAAAATTATACCCTTTATAAATGATACAGAAGACCCTGGGGCTGAGCACCAGTGGTTCATGCCTATAATATTACTTACTCTGGGGACTAACAGGAGGATTGCAGTTCAATGCCAGCCAGGCAAAAAGTTCATAAGACTCCCACCTCAGTCAATAGCTGGGTGCAGTGGTGTGCACCTGTCATCCCAGCTATATAGGAGGCTAAAATTAGTAGTAGAATCATGTTTCCAAGCAAAGCCAAGTAAAATGTTGGTGAGCTCAATAAGGTGAAATGTGAATGACATGTTTGATATTCCAGCTAATGAAGCATAAATAAGAGGATGGAGACCCTATGTCAAAAATAAGAGCCAAAAGGATTGAACACTTGGCTTCAGGAATCATAACCTTTTGTAACCCCTACTTAATAATAACAATAAAAAAGGGGATTGGAGACATGCATCAAACAGTAGAGCACCTGCCTAGCAAGCGTAAATGCCTAAGTTCAACTTCCAGTACCACCATCTTCCTCCCCCCCCCCACAAAACAAAAACAACAACAAAAAGAACACCCAAGGCTCACAACTGTCATGCTAGCTACTCAGGAGACTGATATCCAAAGGGTCATATTTTGAGGCCAACCTGAATAGAAAAGTCCACAAGACTACATTTCCAGTTAAATAGCAAAATGCAGGGCTAGATGCGCATCAGGTGATAAAACCTCAGCTGTGAGCACAGAAGCTGAGCAAGGGTGCACTGAGTTCAAGCCACAAAACTGGCACAAGCAAAACAAAACTCAACTTTGGAGGTTTGCTATTTTCATGTATCTAAGGTTTAAACTGATTGCTGGAAATTGTTTACAAAAGCTTGTTTTCCTCCTTAATGCTTTAAATATAAAAAAAGTGCTCTGTGTGTGTGTGTGTGTGTGTGTGTGTGTTTTGTTAGATGGTGCCTCTCACTGTGCCTCAGTCGTGGGGCTTGAACTCAGGGCCTGGGCACTGTCTCTGAGCTTTCTCACTCAAGGCTAGCACTCAACCACTTTGAGCCACAGCACTATATCTAATTTTCTGGTAGTTAATGGGAGATGAATCTCATGGACTTTCCTGCCCAGGCTGGCTTTGAACTGAGATCCTCAGGTCTCAGCTTCCTGAGTAGCTAGGATTACAGGCATAAGCCATTGGCACCTGGCTTGCATCTGCCTATTTGTACATCTTCATACATTGAAAATGTTTTCCCTACTGGGAAGAGTGAGGTTTTAAGACCTGAACTTTGGTAAGTTTATATATGTGTGTGTGTGTTTGTATATATGTGTGTGTGTGTGTGTATATATATATATATATATATATATATATATTTTTTTTTTTTACAGTGCTTGGGATTGAACTCAAGGCTTCACCTCTGCTAAGCAAGTGCTCTACCTACAACTAAGCTACACCTGGACCATTGATAAGTTTATTTTTGATCTGTGGCATAACATAAATTGAAAAACCCACACTGTGTCAATCTTCATAAGTGAGGAAATATTGACTTCATTATCTGTGAAATGTTTCCCTATTTCTTTTTCTTTTTCTATTTTTTAATTTTGTCAGTCATGGGGCTTGAACTCTGGGCCTGGGCGCTGTCCCTCAGCTCTTCAGCTCAAGGCAAGTGCTCTACCACTTGAGCCACAGAGCCACTTCCAGCTTTTTCTGCCTATGTGGTGCTGAGGAATCGAACCCAGGGCCACATGCATGCGAAGTAAGCACTCTACCACTGAGCCACCTTCCCAGCCCCGTAATTGTAATTTTTAAGTTATATTTAGCTTTGGTGGGTTTTTTTTTTTTTATGACTTTTGGTGGCAGTCATAGGGCTTGAATTCAGGGCCTGAGTGTTGTCCCTGGGCTTTTTTGCTCAAGCTAGTATTCTACCACTTGAGATTTTTATTTTCATTTTTAACTAATTGGAGAAAAGAGTCATGGCCTTTCCTGCCTGGACTAGCTCTGAACCACAATCTTCAGATGTCAGCCTCCTGAGTAGCTACAATTACAAGTATAAGGCACTGGCACCTAGCCTGTTTTTAGTTTTGTTAAACAAAGTCTCTCTATGTACTCAGGCTAGCTTTCAACTGAAGATCTTCCTTCCTCAGCCTCTGACTGTGAGGTTTCCAAGTACCTACAAGTCCACTTAAAATAGTTAAGGATATGCCCCATATCCTTTACAAGATATAAACAGGTAAACATAAGTAAGGTGTCTTCCTATGTTCTGTAAGTCATGCTGGTATTTTGTTAACCTTGACTGCAGGTCATGGGGATAGCTGAGTTTATAGCCATGGTTGAATGGAGTATGGGTAGCCTTGGGACCAGGGTTCAAGAACTCCGAAGTGAGGGATATGCTGTGGGACTGAGACAAATTCTGGATAGAATCAACAAAGAATGGGAATGTAGATTACATAATTGAAGAAATTAAGAATTAGAAGTAGAGAAAGAAAACATCCCCATATAGTTTAACATTTTTTTGTGTGTGTGCTGGTCCTGGGACTTAAATTTAGGGCCTGGGTACTATCTTTGAGCTTTTTGGCTCAAGGCTCAAGGCTAACACTCAGCCACTTGAACTGTAACTCCACTTCTGGCTTTTTGCTGGTTAACTTGAGAAAAGAGTCTCGTGGACTTTTTTCCCTAAACTGGCTTCAAACTATGGTTCTTAGATCTTAGCTTCTTAAGTAGGTAGGATTTCAGGCATGAGCCATCAGCACCCAGAAGTCTAACAGTATTTATTTTTATTTACAAAGAAATGTTAAATTCACAAATTGTGGTTCTTACACTATTCATGTTTATATTTTCTGAGGTCTTTATGTGGGTATAATAAGCATGACCTAGTTTTCATCATAGTAAATAAATGAAGTATACATGAAGTAATAAAACCATTAAAAGAACATGCAAAGATAAAGTATTAAGCTCATAACAGATTATTTTATTTAGGCTCTTTTTCAGAATGCATGCACATTAAATGTATATAATAGGGAAACAGTAACAGAAAAAGTAAGTCATTTAAACCAATTTAAGGCAAGCTTTACTCATTATTTTAAATAAGATAAGTGAGAAATGAGCATGGTTTCAATAAGATTTTCAAGAAATTTGTCATAGTTTTATAAAGGGGAGAATACATAAATCTTTACTATTATTATGACAAATTGAAAATATGCCTTTGAAATTATAAAATGAATTACTTCAGTACTAAAATAACATTAAGTTTACAAAGTCACTGGCAAGTTTTGTTTGATGGTATCCAATTTTTAACTGTAAGTTTTGGAATATTCTCTGAGTTCTTAATAAGTTTTTTTTTTGTCAAAGGAAAAATAAAATTTCAAGGTATTTCTGCAACTATGACTAATTTTAAAAGATCAAAATGACAAATGTATTTTTCTGGGTTAATAAAATTCAAATACTGTTGGTAAAGACAACACATAATTTCAATTAAACCAGATCCATTTGAAAAAAGAAAAGAGTTACAAAGAAGTAGAAAGTACTATTAGAATCAACTGTCGACATCTAATAGAATATCAATGTTTATTTATATTCTTTCATTGAAAAGAATGTAAAAGCCCTTTTTCTTTTTGAAGAATACAAGTGGATGGAAAACAAAAAAGGAGTAGATTTTACTGCAGTTATTCAGTGCTAAACCATGATTTTATAGTAATCTGTTTTATTTTTTATACTTGCTAATGTGTTCACGGGCAATAATTAGCCTTTGGATTTGTGAAGTACCTTCATAAATCTGTAAGAAAAATATAAAAGTAATTTAAATATTTTCAGCACATATATACCTTGATTTACTTAGGCTGTGTAAATAGTCTAAATTATTATAAAAAAGTCACTTAGCCAAAAATTGAAGATAGTAATTAAACTATATAAAATGAACACTCACACTTCAAAAAGTTTGGGAGAAGTAAAGTTTAACATGGCTAAAATATACATCCAACTTTTCTGAACTGCTGCTCTGATTCTATTTTTGTCTTTTTCAATCATTTTCTAATCATTAATAGTCATTAACACTTTCTAATCATTTTATAGTTATATTATTTTATATAGTTTCTAATAATTTTATAGTTATATCATTTTATAGATTTTTTTCTTCTACTTCTTGAAAAATAGAATTGTTAAAAAATAGAGATACTTTAATATGAGCTTTAAATAGTGTCCTTTTTCTGTCACAGAAGTTTCCTTCTGCCTATTCTATTACTGAAATGTGTCAGGGGAGAGCATTACTGGATAAGTATTTTATATTTCCCATAGGACTTAGTGTCTTTGCATTAAAGAGGCAAAATATGAAAACTTGCCCTGGACTTGTTTGAAACCACTTAGCTAATAAGTATCATGTAACAAAGAAAGAAAAGAAAAGAAAAGAACAAATGATATTGGTTTGGTTTGGTTTTGGTAATTCCTAGTATCTAGGCTTTATTTCCATTCTAAAAATCTAACCTTATGCATTTGTTACTTCATTTTCTCAGTTGCTAGAATAGGTTAAATGGTTGGTAGTAGTAGTAGTCATAATTACAATTACATGCTCTGAGACAGGGACAATGTGTTACAAATCCTGGTCCTCAATTTTTCCATGTCTAAAGACAAAAGTTTGAATTATATCTAGAATTTCTCATTCCATTTTTCTGAAATCATCTTAAAATTCCAAATGACTAGATTTGTCACAAAATTTGCTGGAGATGATGGGAACAAGGGAAGGGCTATTAAGAAGCATGGTATATAATGAAGCCACATTTGGAGATCATGAATACCTATATTTTATTTATCAAAATACTCCTAAGTTTTTCTAACCATTAATCTAATTTACAAGTCCTATATGACTGTCTCCATGTTTTTAACTTCAACTATGGTTTCAAATAATTTAAAGATTGTCAGGTAAAAATAATAAAAAATATTTTTTAAACAAATGCATATTTTTCAGAGAGCAAAATGTAGATTACAACTAAGATGTTACATGTAAGATATGCCATACATGTCTGTACCAGTTGCCTTGTTAGCCTATTGCTTCTTAAGATCTATTCTTAATTTAAAAAGTAATAATGAGATTTCTGCCAGCTCTGCTGACTTACATCTCTTATCCTAGCTACTCAGCAGTCTGAAATTTGGATGATCAAGATTCAAAGGCACCCCAGACAGAAAAGTCCATGAGATTATACCTCCAAAATAACCAGCAAAAAGCTAGGCCAGAGATATGGCTCAAGTGGTAGAGGGCCTGTGTAGCAAGCATGAGGCCCAAGTTCAGTATAAGTTCAAACCTCAGGAGAGCCAAAATAGGTAACAATAAAACAAACTTAAGGATATTCTTTTGTATGCTGATTGTGCCACAAAATGGCTCATAGTCACTTATGACAGTCATTTATTTTGTGTTTGTGTATGCTGGACGTGGGACTTTCTTTTGTATGCTGATTGTGCCACAAAATGGCTCATAGTCACTTATGACAGTCATTTATTTTGTGTTTGTGTATGCTGGACGTGGGACTTGAACTCAGTGCTGGTGTGCTGTCTCAGAGCTTTTGTGCTTGAGGCTAGAACTCTACCAATTGATGTTACAGCTCTATTTCCAGTTTAGGGTTTGTTCTTTTTTTGTTTGTTTGTTTTGTTTTTGATTTTTTTTGGTGGTTAACTTGAGGTAATAATCTCACACATCTTCTTGCCCAAGTTGGCTTGGAATCGAGATTCTCAAATCTCAGCCTTCCAAACAGCTAGGATTATAGATATGAGTTACTGGCATGAGCTATTGGTTATTTAGTGGCACAGACTCCCTCAATAACCAGAAATCTATTGTCACTTGTCACTTATAAATATTCTATCCCTAGATAAACAACAGAAGACATTTTAAACCTTACCTGATAGATCTTGGCATCCCTCATTAGTTTTTCAACAGGATACTCTGTATTAAATCCATATCCTCCAAAAATCTGCACAGCATCAGAAGCTAGCTGATTTGCAATATCTCCAGCAAACGCCTTTGCAATAGAGGCATAATAGGTATTTCGACGGCCAGCATCAACCTCCCAAGCTGCTCTTTGGTAACTTAATCTAGCTAGTTCAACTTTCATTGCCATTTCTGCCAGCAAAAATGATACTCCTTGGTGCTAGAATTACAAAACAACAACAACAATAAAAAACACAACCATAAAAAACAGTTTTAGTATATTCACTGACAACATTTAAAATTTTTTCTCCTAGAACTTTTTTTTAAATTTTTGAACTAATTTTAGACTTGCAGAAAAGTTACACCCAGCTCCCTCTAATGTTACCATATTACACAACCACAGTACAGTGATCAAGGTCAGGACATCTACACTAGTATCATATTATCAAGTAACTATAGACCCTACTCAAATTTAGTCACATTTTCTAGAAATATCCCTTATCAGTTTCAGGATCACACATTGAATTTAGTCTTAAGAGAGCGCTCTGTATCACTATATAAAGAATGTTTTTGTTTCAACAATTGCAAATGATTCCACTTTTTCTCTGGCTGATTAACCTTTTGATTGTTTCTATATAGTACTGAAATGAAGAGCAGGAGTCACACAAAACACAGCTATAACCACTGGTATTAGACCTAAATTTAGGTTGTTTTGATATAACTTGCTAAATGAAGTTCATAAAAGATGCACTAATTTATATCATCATTGATAATATGGTACTTGTTTCACTATCGCCAAGCTGTGTACATAATAAAGAAAGCTTTGGCAAGCTAATACATGAATAAAATGTTTTAAGATGCCTATATTCCTTCAGAGGTCTTGATGTTAAAATATTATGGCAGTGATCAGATGATGAATTTTTAACAAACACTTCCTGTGAATCTTAATCATTAGTTTACTTTTTATGAAAAACCATTCTACACTCAGTTCAAGTTCCCTATAATGTGTCTAGTCCATAATAACTTATCTCCTGTTTTCTGAACTATGCCTGAAAGCTTTTATTTTAGGACCTAAATCTGATGTTAGGCTATACTACTTCTGAATATTTATTTTATAGTGTATATGTAATAAAAACATATGGTGTATATGTGTGCATGCATAGAAATGATAGAAGTGAAATGAACTAGCTGAACAAAAGTAGGTTATGTTATGTTACCTTAGAGAGTTATCCTTAGTCTCTTGGTATGAAGAACTGGAATATTACAGATCAGAACTAACTAAATAGAACTTATATTTACTAATACATGTGAATGTAGTTCTGCTAGCACAAATGAGCTAACAAAGAAACATGTAACTTAAAAGACTTCAAAGTGCTAACAGAGTGGTATACATACTCCTTTAATCCCAGCACTTGGAAGGCTGAGGCAGGATAGTTAAGTTCAAGCCAGCAAGAACTTGTCTCAATAAATAAATAAATAAAACAAGAACAACAAAGCTTTCTTTTGAAAGAAACAGAAATCTTTAAGTGCCTCCAGAAAGGAACTGAAATCTTGGTGACATGAGATGAGACAGTATGTTATCAGACTCAGATCTGAGTCAATGGGATAGAAGCTAGAGTTTAACAAACACATCAAGAACAGAAGTTTTGGGGTATTTGTGTGTATGTGTATGTGTGTGTGTGTGTGTGTGTGTGTGTGAGAGAGAGAGAGAGAGAGAGAGAGAGAGAGGGAGAGAGAGAGAAAGAGAGAGAGAGAGAAAGAGAGAGAGAGAGAATGAATAAGATAAAGAGTTATAGACAACAAAGAAGCTTATCTCTTGCCTAGGACTCTGGGAGATTTAAAAGGGAAGAACCTCTTGAAGGATAAAACCATGTATATATATATAGCCTCAGTCATATAGGATTTTCCAAGTTGAAAAACTAATGTAAAACAATAACTCTTAAAATTATAAAAACTTGTAGGATACCTGAAAAAAACTTCAGCCAACAACCTCTCCCCACCCCAACAAAACAAAACAAAAAGGTGTCACTCTCCAGAATGCTTCAGCAATCTACTAGGAGGAACAATAACTCCAGTAGCACATCAAGCCCCCTGGTTGATCCCTAGCACTACAATCAAAACAACAATAAAACCCTCCTATAGATAAGCTTGTAAGCAAAAACTGAAACAGGAAAACACTCTAAAGAGCTGGCAGATGCAACAAAAAGATTAGCAACTTAAGTACTTGAGATAACAGAAATCAAATTGATTATAAATAATTTTTATAGAAAAAGGCTATGTTCTAAAACTCAAGACACCCTAAAAGAAGAAAGTGTTGTTTGGAAATGAACCAAATATATCTTACTGATTATTAAAGTATACATATATACTGATTATAGTGGTATATACTTATAATTCCAGTTTGGGAGACTGAGGTAGGAAAATCATGAGTAAGAAACTAGAAGAGAGAGAGAGAGAGAGAGAGAGAGGAAGGAAAAGAAAAAAGAAAGAAAAGAACAAGAAGAAAAAAAGAGCATCAGTGGTATATTGTCTAGAATGTAGATAAATCATGAAACCGAGTCTTGGAGACATAAAGCAGTACTATTACAAATCTGGTAGGCCCATGGTGACAGCCCACAAACTTACTGGTTCCTAATAGATTTAACCTTGTTACGACCTTTGTGAAAGATGGTAGTAACAAAATGAAGTCACTTATGTCAAAGCCTAACAAATGGGAGCCAAGAAACCATGAAAGAGAAGCCCTTACACATGCATGATTCTAACAGGAACTATTGAAAGAAGCCCTCGGAACATTAGTATACCAGATAACCTCCCCAAGAACACTTGCCAAGCAGTGGCTGATTCTACTAATGAACTAACACCAAATCCTACAACAAACACTGGAACAAGTGGTCTGGGTTTCAAAACAAGTTAGGGATTTTCATTTGTCTTTAAGAGCTTCTCCTTGCCCCATGTCCCTCAGATGGATCGATAAGCTACTATTGGATCATTATTCCCAAACTCATTGGAGAATTAGTCTGTCATTCAATATAAGTGGACATATATTTTACAAAAGTAATTATGCACAATTGATTGGAAATTAAACAGCAACTGGTCTTCACCATAGATAGTTTGAGAACCACTGATATAGAGATAGAAATGGAGGTTCAGTAAAACTTTTCCTACAAATAAAACATTAAGCCTCCTACCCCCACCAAAAGATGTGGAGGCCATAGTGAGTTAAAGAAGAGAATACAATGAATGGGGAGATTAGTATTTGAAAAGAGTTAATAACTTCCCTGAAAAATATGGAGGACATGACTCTGTAGTATTAAAATTTGATATTCATGGTAAGGTAAAGAATGAAATACAAATTAAGAATGTAAAACAGAACCCTGGATCTATGGCTTGTATGCCTTTGGACTAATATTTAGTAATCCTGAGGCTGTTTCTTAGTCTTTATTATAATACCATCAAAACATGACTAATTGGAAAATTATAAAATATAACAAAATTGATAGTGCAGTATCAGGTACAAAATAAGCAACCAATAAATATAAGCTTTTATCCCCTTCTTAATGTAATTCAGAGCGACCAATCAGTCCTTGAAAACTTGAAAAAATAACCATGATATCTTCTTGCTACCCAAATACAAAAAGGATTATTTTGAATTTTAAAAAGTTGTGTGTGTGTTTTTTTTGTAATTTCTATATGAAAATTACTGGCATAGGAAGTGGTGCTGTGGCTCAAGTGATAGAATGCTAGTCTGAAGCTGAAGAGCTGAGGGACAGTGCTCAGGCACAGAGTTCAAGCCCCAAGACCACCACCAACAACAACAATAACAGCAAAAAGAGTGGCTTCATATATCAACAAAGCAAGCACATTATTAAACTTACCTCTACAAGCAGCTTCCCAAATGTCTTCCTTTCCAGAGCATACATGGTAGCTTCATCCAAAGCTCTCTGTGCCAATCCAACGGCACCAGCTGCTACCTAGTATTTAAAAAAAATGCAAACATAATTTTATTGTTATTATTAAGGTAGTATATAGAGGGGTGGCGTTTCATATGTCAGGTAATAGTATATTTCTATTTTTGGACAATGTTACCTCTTCCTTCCCTTTCCCCCAGTTTTGCTCACCCAGCCCTGTCCACAAGGTTATACAGGCCATTTTCCTAGCATGTTAACATTGTATAAAGACAAAGATCACGTTGTTTTTAAAATAATTTCAACACAGCATATGGCTATCTTTCTTATGGATTATACAAAGAGAAATCAGCATAATAAAAATGGGAAGGGAAGCACTTGTTTATATTATAAATTATAAATTAAAGGCAGACGCTTGGGATATACCTAGTGGTAGAGAGCACATTTAGCCTACAAAATGCCTTGAGCTTGATCCCCAGCTCCACACACATACACACAAAAAATAATTGCAGGCATTTATGAGGCATAGAATCATAGCCTAGAGAAAACTTATCCTTGTTTTAACAAGTGCAACCTTCCTAAGGGAAATATCCTTAATGAACAAAGGAATAAGAAATGAGTATATAACAGGAATTATCAAATTAAGTTTAGGCTTCCTCCCTGGAAACCTAGAAGAAACTACATTAATTTTGTTTTTGCTGAAGTAATTTCTACTTAAAAAAAAACCATGAAGAATTATAAATTAGTAAAGTAATAGTACCTCTTGTCTACCTTTACTAAAAGAAAATATTAAAAAAGAAATATATACCAAATACACAATATGAAAATATGACTATGTATTGAATGTAGTAAATAAAGATCATACAGACTTTATCAACTTACTGGGGGTCTGGTTCTGTCAAAAGCTCCCATTGCAATTTTGAAACCAGCTCCTTCACCAATTAAGACATTTTCTTTTGGTACTTTGACATCTTCAAAGACAATTCCTCTTGTATCTGAACATCGCTGGCCCATGTTTAATTCCTAACAAGAAAATTGTCACATTTAAAAATTTTTTTAAAATATCACATCAACTTTTTCCTTTTCTTTTTGTTTTGTTTTGTATCTATGATGCTGGTCTTGAAGTTTGAACTCAGGGCCTGGACACTGTCCCTGAGTTTCTTTTGCTCAAGGCTAGCACTCTACCACTTGAGCCACTACTTCTGACTTTTTAATGGTTAATTGGAGATAAGAGTCTTATGGACTTTCCTGCCAGGGCGAGCTTTGAACCACAATCTTCAGATCTTGTTTTCTTGAGTAGCTAGGATTACAAACATGAGCCACCAGGGCCTAGCTTGAGTTATAACAATTTTAACATTAACCACTACTTTATGTTTTTCTGTGATTATCTAAATGAGGAGCCACAGTTGAGGGCCAGAAATGTCTGGTTCATAAGAAAAGTTTCAGTGACCTATAGACACACCTACTTACATAGTTTCTATAGTTTCTTGCTACAATGGAAAAATTGAGGAGCTAGAACAGGGATCATATGGTCTCTTACTAGAAAGTTCCTCAAGAGATTTTTGTCTGTTAGTTCAATACACTGTTCCCAAACTCTAGAATGGTGCCTAGTAAATATATATCTGGCAATAAATATTTATTGAATCAGAAACTTGGTGTGTGTGCGCGCGCACGCATAAATACCAGGGTTTGAGTTCATGACCTGGGGACTGTCCCTTAGCTTTTTTGCTCAAGGCTGGCACTCTACCACTGAAGCCACAGCTCTGTTGCTGGCTTTTTAGTAGTTAATTAGAGGTAAGAGTCTTACAGAGTTTTCTGCCCAGAATGGCTTCAAACTATGATCCTCAGATCTCATCCTCCTGAGCAAGGATTACAAGTGTAAGCCACTTGAACCAGTCTTGCAGTCCATTTTTTGTCATATTGTTTTAACTCATGATCTGGGCACAATGCCACTTATCCCACTAAAAGACTGCTATAAGGATCCAGTGGGGAAAGAGTGGGCAAATCCTTTAAGATATCTAATACTCTACTATTGGGCAGGTAATACAAAAGATATTTTGATTTCTATTTCATTATACCTACATCTATTATCTACATTCTCTACAGATTGGTCCCATGAATGGCCAATTTTACAAATTGACTTGAAACAACTATTTGTAACTTAAAATCTTCCAATATATAAATTTTTTTGCCTGATCAAAACACAGCTTCTTTTTTTTTCTTGGTCCTGGGGCTTGAACTCTGGGACTGGGAGCTGTCCCTCAGCTCTTCAGTTCTAGATGAGCACTCTATCATTTGAGCCACAAGTGGTGATGTGGCTCAAGTGGTAGAGTGCTTGCCTTGAACTGAAGAGCTCAGGGTCAGCATCTAGGCCCAGAGGTTCAAGCCCCATGACAGACAAAAAAATCAAAAACAAAAACATAGTTCCACTTGAGCCACAGAGCCAAATCCAGTTTTCTGGTGGTTTATTGGAGGTAAGTCTCATGGCCCTTCCTGCCCAGGCTGGCTTTGAACCATGATCCTCAGATCTCAGCTTCCTGAGTGGCTAGGATTACAGGTGTGAGCCACCGGCACCCGACAACACAGCTTATTTCTATTCCAACTTAATAAAATATTTTTATTAAAGGAAACTAAAATAATGGTTTTGCTATTCAAGACCTCAAGGGCTAGGAAGGTGGTTCAGTGGTACAGAGCTTGCCTTGCATGCATGAGGCCCTGAGTATGATTCCTCAGCATCATATAAGCAGAAAAAAAAAAAAGCCAGAAGTGGCATTGTGGCTCAAGTGGTAGAACACTAGCCTTGAGCTGAAGAGCTCAGGGACAGTGTCCAGGCCCAGAGTTCAGGCCCCAAAACCAAAAACAAAACAAACAAAACAAAACAAAAAAAGAACTTAATCATTAATATTATTTACCTTTTTTACTTTTTGGCTAAAGAGTTTTACCTTTTTTTTTAACCAAATATTTTACCTTTTTTCCAATCTGTATTCCTGGGGAATCTGCTTCCACAATAAATCCAGTAAAAGCTTTGCTGGCGGGAGTTTTAGGATCAGGATCAGAACGCGCCAATAAAAAATACCTAATATATACATACATACATATTTATGATGATGATGATGAAATGGTTTTAATGAATAGCACATGATGACTGCTAGCCCAGCGAATCCTCCCAACACTCCCCATTACTATCACTCCCATCTTACAGGTAAGGAAATGAAGAGTCAAACACATTTCAAGTCAAAAACTCCCTTTGAAGTTTTGGCTTGAACTGAGAACCCTGTGCTCTCAGTTGACTTTTTCCACTCACATCTGGCATTCTACCACATGGAGTCATGCCTCCAATCTGACATTTTGCTAGTTAGTTTTGTGATAAGTCTCTCAGACTTTTTCCCCAGGCTGGCTTTCAATCATAAGTTCTCAGCCTCCTATGTAGATAGGATTAGAGGCATGAGCCACAAGTGGTCAGCTCATTTTGTTTTCTAATTTCATATTATCACCTAATTTGACCTACTAAAATTGTATTGCATTGTTACATTTCTTTCAACTTGGCAAATTGGCTATTTTTACATTTTATTATCGTATCACGATGTGAAATGATAACGAGTTAACATTGCATAATACAGAGTATCCACATTCAGGATACTCAAAAAGGATTGACTGATATTTAAAATAAACATTTAAATTCCTAATAGGCTCACTGCCAATAATGATCCTTTTCCTTGAGTTGGGGGGGGGATGTTAGGATTTGAACCTAAGAACTGTTAGATCTTATTAACAGCAATCTCTGTTCACTCTAAAGGATAATAAACTGAGTTGAGAAGTGGAGGTAAGTCAGGTTAATGGACTGCTAGCTTTTTTTTTTTTTTTTGGACTGCTAGCTTTTTAAATCAGTTTTAACAAGTGTAGCTACTTTTGTTTTATCTTACAAACAGAATGTCACAAAGTTAATCTGAAAGAAATAGCTCAGGAGCTGGGAATGTGGCTTAGTGGTGGAGTGCTTGGCGAGCATGCATGAAACCCTGGGTTCAATTCCTCATTACCACATAAACAGAAATACCTGGAAGTGGTGCTGTGGCTCAAGTGGTAGAGTGCTTGCCTTG